ACCCCCCCCACCCCCACACACATACACACTCATTTGCTCAAGCAGCCAAAATGGTTGTCAGGCTATTCACAGGCATCCTTAGGGCGGCATCCTATAATTCTAGTCCCAAATGGTTTTTCTTTTTCTCTCTTCCTTTTTTTTTTTTTTTTAAGTCTTCTGACTCTGCTAGCCTCCTCCAGCTTCGCTCAGGGCTAGTCAGGTGGAATGGATAACATATAGTCAGAACACCTGGGTTCAAAGGCGAGCCCTGTCCCCCAGGCAACCGCCCTCTGTGCGAGAGAGGCTTCTCCTCTCTAATGGGGGATCGTATGGGCAGACCCCTGGGTTATGAGGAGATCACATGGGGCGAGGCCCACAGTGGCCCTGCATAGACACAGCCTGGGGCCCGGGGCCGGGAAGGCAGGGAGGCAGTGGGGCACAGGGCTGGGTCATGCATCCCAGGGACAGGGATGGTGTGGGAAGGAATTCAGGTAGGTGGACACACTGAACACGCCCCCAAGGCAGGCCGGTCCTCACCATCCCTGGTTGCTGCAACTGACTGCCCCTGTTCTGCCCCCGGCTGCACCAGGGAAACGAGATCTGCAGTCCCTTCTTTTGGGGACCGCCTGCCCCACATTCAGCAAGTCCTCTGAGAACTCTTCTTGTCCTCACCAGTTCCCCACCTACTTGTTCCAGGCCAAGGCACGCCAGGGCTGCTGCATCCCACATCGTCTAGGTAAATGGTGCCCAGGAACCGGGCAGCACATGTCCATGGCAGTTGTCTCCACACCCAGCTAGGGCTCTGCCATGGGAAATAGGAAGCCCTTATAGTTATTGTGTGATTGTTGGATGAACGCCCATTGTGCATTGGACAGTGAACTCCATGAAGGCGGGGCTTTGTTGTATTCCCAGCACCTTGCTCAGGGCCTGGCACACAATAGTTGGCCAATAAGTATTCCCTAAGACAATGGCTGGGTGCATGGATGGATGGATGGAGCGACCGTTTCTCCTGCACTGCACGCCTTTCCAATTCCCGGGACATCTCCTCAGCCTGTGGCCACCAGAACCCACTAGGGGAAGAATAAGGGTCTGAAGCTTTGAAGCCTTGCGGCCACATGTGGACATCTGAGAGGCCATATGCAAAGTGCCCAGCTATGCCTGACCAGAAAAGCTCACTGCTGAAGTGGTGCTTCCTTGCTGAGCTCTGGGAGTGGTTTGGGGAGATGGGGGTTAGACTCCACATGCTGTACAGGCAGATGAACGATCCTTTGATGTAAAAGCATTCTGTGAGAAAGACAGGCACGGAGAAAGCAGAGAGAACAGAAAATCAGCGGGCTGTGGCCGCCCGGCCTCTGGCGGTCTTTCCGCCCTCGCCGTCAGAGCAAAGGGGCCATGGTTAGGGCCTCTTGGGAAGGAGCCAGAGCAGGGCCGCCCCCTTCCACCTTGACGTTCCTGGGCCCCACCCCCATTCCTTTGCCCCTGAAGTACTGAGGGGGGAGGGGGTGGAGACCAGCCCTCCCCCTGCCCACTCTAGCTGTCAATCTGCTGTCTGGCAGATAGACTTGAAGCTTCATGACAGCTGTGGGCAACTTTCCTCAGCCCCGCCTCCCGCCCATGCCTGCCCTCTTCCCCTCTTCTCTCTGCCAGAGCCCTTCCAAAGCTGCTGTGAGGTTGCCTTCCCTCCCTCTTGCGTTCCTTTCCTCCTTCCCTCCCTCCCACCCTTCTTTCCTTCCTTCCTTTCTCTTTTTCTCTCTCCCTCCCGTTGTCATCTCTTCCAATTCCCACACCTACTAAACCTGTGTGACCTCATAAGATTTCTAATGGGGAAAATGAAATTTTAAGCTCCCTCCAGGTCAAGATCTTTCATAGACTGAATGTGTTGTGTGTGTGTGTATAAGTGTGAGTGTGCTGTGTGTGTGCGCGCGCGTGCACGTGCATGTTGTCTATGGCATGGGTATCAGCAGCTGAGAGGTCCCTGGGGTTTCTAGCCCCCTTGGGGGTCTGGTGTCTTCTCCTGGAGGTGGTCACTAGGTTACTGACCCCCTGAGCTAGAGGAGGGAGCTATTTTGCCCACCTCCTGGAATCCGGGTGCTCCTGGGGACAGAAGCCCGTTCAAGGGCTCAGAGCTACATTCGGGTTCAGGGAGAAGATCGAAGTCCATAATTAAGTGTTCAGGGCAAGTTAAGTGCTCCAAACTTTGGTGCTAAAAATATTGTATTTAGTATGCAAATTGTGCCCTGACAGCTCCCCAGAGCCTGAGCCCGTGGGTGCTGGCACCTTGTTTGTCATCACTGCTGTTATCCTCAAGGTGGTAAGAATAGTCCTCCTTCACTGGATTAATTTATATTTCACTTTTAAAAAGCCAAATTTCTGTTGTTGGGCCAGTGCCAAGTGGTGGCCCCAGAAGGCTTGGACCTGTGACTGGCCTGGAGGCCAAAAGGAGGGGGGCCACATCACTCAAGGCCTCCTTGCCACCCCAACTGCCCCAGAGGAAGGGGGTCCTGATGCGATATAGAAGACAGGGCAAGGAGCAGACACAGACACAGCACTGCCGGCACCTCGAAGGCCACCCTATCCTTGGAGCCCTGCTCTGCCCTGGTGGCAAGAGGACTAAGGATGGGTCCTTCAGAAGTGCCAGGACCTGGGAAAGAGGAGGCAGGAACAGGGACAGCTGGGCTGCCCTCTGGTGCGCCCCTGCTGATTTGGCGACTAGCGGAGCTCTGGGTGTGCGTGGATTCCCATGGGAAACGCTCTCCCCTACCATCTTCGTTTAGTTGACTGTTGAGGGTCAGGCCCACCCAATCGCAGGACTGAGAACGCTCCTGGCGGCGCTGGAGGACAGGACAGAGGGTGGGGACGGGGCAGAGGCACACAGGCACACACAGCTTCTCCTTGGTCCTCCTGGAGCAGCTTTTCTCCTTTCCCCCAAAGTCCTGCCACCCTGATGGCCGGGGTCAGGGTCACCCTTTTGAGGAGGGTCTTCAGGAGGCCTCTCCAACTCTATCCCCAGCACAGACACAGGGCTTTCCTATACTTGATGTGGAGGACGAAGGTGGCACTGCGCCCTTGTACCCGAGGGGCCTTGGAAGTGACTCTTGTCAAAGTTTTATTAGTTTGGAGCATGTGTAGTGATGTTACAGAGTCTGGGACCCGGGGGGCTCCCCAAGCTGCAGCTTCCCCTACTCCCTCAGGGCAGGGCCAGGCCGGCCAAATGGTATTCAGCTGCCTCTTAACTACAGGCTCCTCTAAGGCGGAGGCAGTGGAAAAGGAAGGGGAAGGGGAAAGAGAAGAGGCGAAAGGAAGAGAAAAGGAAAGTGGTTTTGTGGCAGAGTGTGGCAGGAGGCAGTCCCCCAAAGAACCTCAGATACCCCAACCCAGGCCCCAGACATAGTCATAAGCCACCTTCCCCAGCTGCCCCCAGGCTGGCCTAACATTTGCTAAGAGAAGGGGTGCACCTGAGTCCATCAGGAGGCTTAGGGGTGGGGTTCCTCTCCTCAGGGGGTGTGGAGCTAGCGAGGCGGGGTAGGACCCACTGCTCTGGGAAACAGAGGCCCCTGTCGGGTGGGAGAGGGAGTAGAGATTTTTGGCTTGGGCTTCTCTGGGGTTCATCGTGTGGTCTGGTATTTACATGGATCTCCCCAGACTGAAGTTACCTGGGCCCTTGGCAAGAGATCTGGCTTTCCTGGTGTGGACCATGTGGGCTGTAAACTCCATCCCCCACACTGCCCGATCCAGCAAAACCCATGGAGGCCAGGCTGAGCCCAACGGAGGGCACAGACTCTGAGCCCAGACTCTGGCCTTAGCCACCCCAGAGCCCCAGAAAAAGGTCAGAGAAGGAGGCTGCGTCTTTGGTGCCAAGGAAAGGGGCGCTGCAGCTGGGAGGGGAACTCTGAGCTGCCCCTGGCTGGCACCATGCCTGGCTCTCTACACTACCCTGGCAGAGTGAGGGTGTGCGGCAGGAAAGGGCATGGTGCCAAGCTAACACTGCAGGGCCTTCCGGGGGAAGAGAAGGCCAAGCCCCGTCCGCGCCCCAGCGTCCTCCTGCCCACGGCTCCCAGGCGCTGAGGCCGGGCTGGCCCGGGCAGGAGGTGGGCAGCAGGGTGCTGTGAGGGTGGGCAGCAGGGTCAGCAATGGAGGATCTTCATGAAGGCTTTGCGGAACTCGATGTTGAAGGTCGTGTAGATGATGGGGTTCACGGCGCTGTTGACATAGCCCAGCCACGTGAAGGCGCTGTACAAGACGGGTGGGATGTTGCAGTCACAGTGAATGTTCAGGATGTGTGTGATGAAGAAAGGCAGCCAGCAGATGATGAACACGCCTGGGGGAGAGGGGGACAGTCAGGCTGGCCGCAGGGCCAGGGCGAGGCTGAGCCGGGGTGGCTCACGCTCAGTGGGCACATGGATGGTGTGCCGCAGACCCTGGCCCAAACCTTGGGACTTGTGCTGTCATAGAGACGGATGTCTGTCTCACCCACTCTGCCTAACTCAGGACCACCTGCTAGGGAGAACCCTTGGTGTGAAGGCATCGTGTGCATGGAGTGCCCAACAGACACACTGGGAGTCCCTGGGGGTGGAGAGGTTCCTGGAAAGGGCAGGACCACAGAGCAGAGAGAGAGCCCATGCCTAGAGCAGAGGACTTGGCTTGAACCCTGCCCTGTCGCTCCTGGCTGCATGATCAAGAGCTGGTCTCTTATCCTGCTGTGACCGCGTGCTCTTATCACACCTGCGCCACTCACATCACAGGACTGTCAGGAGGCCAAAGGGGATGGTAGGCATGGGAGGTATCACACACTACCCTGGGTGCCACATGGCAGACAGGCTCACATCAGTCCCTCCCGTTCCCAATCACCCACAGTCCAGCCCTCGATTTTTTACCTTTATTATCTCGTTTCCTAGGAGAACTTTTATTTGAAAGCCTTGCCTTGCTGACAAGGTCATGCCCTCATTTTGGTCAGGCCCCTCTTTACAGCCCCCCTTTTATTCGCAGCTCTGCTCCAACAGGTCTTGGTTGAACGTAAGTGAACTGAATTTCCCAATTCCTCAACAATAGCAATATTAACAAAGACCATAATGATAACACCAGTGTGCACTGTTTAGCAGTTTCTAAAACGCTTTTACCACCGGCTACCACTTGATGACCCACAACAACCCTGAGAAGTAGCCTACTCTGCTGAAGGGACTAGAGAGAGAATGTCCCTTGTCTAGGGTCATGAGGCTCTCGAGGGTCATTATGGTAGATTGGTCAAGTTGAGACTCTGGAGTCAAACTGCCTGAGGTTAAATCCTGGGTCATCCTCGCTCAAGTTATAGGACCACTCAAACCTCAGTTTCTCCATCTGTCAACTGAGCAGAATTAAAGGCTCTACCTGACAGGTGCATCCGTGGCCTTGGCCTATGCCTGAGAAAGTGCCAGTTCCGTGACCCCCCAGCCATGCTTCAGAAGGGGGCGACAGGTAACGGAACCTCTGTAAAGGGCCCTTCCCTCAGCCAGGGCTGCGCAGAGCTGGGCTGTGGCCAGCAGCGAGGCAAGGGCAGACTCACCGAGAACGATGGCGAGCATCTGGGTGGCTTTCTTCTCCTTCTGCTGAGACAGCTTCCTGCGGCTCAGGGTCTTGAGTGAGGTCCGAGTTTTGCCGTTGGGCATGGACTGGATCTCAAAGATCTTGGCAATCTTCGGGTGGTCTTTGGAATGCCCATTCTTCTCTGGTTTGGCGGGGCTGTCAGGAGTGCTGTGGAGGCCGTGGTGGGATGGGTCGGGGAGGGTCAGCTGGTGGTGGCTGGGCGGGATGGGGCTGTACCGGGTCCTCTCAGGTGGGCTGGTGCTGGAGAGCATCTCCATCTCTAGCTCCTGAGCTCGGCGGGCAGCCTCCTACATGAGGCAGAGAGTTCTAGGTGAAGCCAGGCAAGTTCTCAGGCATCGGCCACCCAGCCTCACCTGGCCTCACCTGGCCCCCGGACCTCCCCTGTCTTCCTCTGTAGACTCCTGCAAACACCACAGGTCACCCTGCAGGATGATCTCTGGGAAGCAGGGACTGTCTGGGTACAGGACCAAAAACCCACAGCAGTCCCTGCCTGCGGGACCATCCCAGGCCCCCTTCCCAGAGCAATCGTTATGCAGCCTCAGTAACCCCACCACCATTTTGTGGGGGCTTGCTACCCAAGCACTTCTCTTTTATTAACTGGGCAACACTTACTGAGTGCCAGCTTAGTGCCCGGCGCCAAGCTGGCTGCTGGGGATAAATTGCTAATTGACATTCAGGGCCTGATTGATGCTCAGTGCCTGCTGCCAGGAGTTCATGTTCTAAATACATGGAGGGCACCCCTGTTCTTCCTGCCCAGCTGACCCGAAGCATCTGTACCAGCACGCCCACGTGGGCTCCATTTCTCCTGGTAGACTGATCCAGGAGAAAAGGGCTAGCCCCTGGGCCCCCGCACCCTCCCTGCGAGGCTGACCTGGACGGCCTTCTACTCAGGGCCCTCCCATGTTCTCCCTTAGGCTCTCTTGTCCCAGGCCTCAGTGCAGCCTCTCTATATGCCCAGGTGGTATGACTGCGATGCTACCTCAGTCCCAATCCCGAGTCCCTGTTTTGGCACCTATCTCATAAACGGCTCTTTTGAGTCCTGGCCTTGCTGTGCAGGTGAACGGTGGGGGCCGTGCCTCCTGAGGACACTTGACTTGGATGTCATGTACGACCCTTGGTGGGTTCCTCGGGCCACCCTGGGTGATAGGATGCCTGCTGCCTGGACCCTGGTGCTACTACCACTGAGCAGAGCCTGGGGTCTGCTGTGATTCTGCGCCTCTCGGCTCTGCGTAGAGGCTGCACTTCGCCACCAGCCCCCCCCACCCCACATACATACACACACCCTGGCTGCTCTGTTCCGCCCTCCCCCAGAACCTGCCTGTAGCAAGGCAGCACATGCAAGTGGAAAGCACAGCAGAGACATGGATTTCAAAGTTCCATAAGTCTAGGCTTAAATATGCCTCTTACTAACTGTTTAGCCTTGGGTGAGTTACCTAACCTCTCTGAGCCTCCGTTTCCTCTTCTGTAAGATGAAGATCAATAAGGTCAATAAGGCTTACCTCCAGGGTTGCTGTGAGGATTTGATGAGATAATACGAACATGGTAGGTGTTCAGTTAATGACAGTAGCCATTCTTGTTTATATCACGTTACTATGGCCAAGTCCTTTATCCCAACCATTTTCTTGTGCTAGGGGTACCTCTCTGTGCCTTGCAGAATCAAGCTGTCTTGCTCCTCGCCTGTTGTGAGGTGTGCATGGTGAGCCTGGCCTCAGCAGAGGCAAAGTGAGGGATCCCGGGAGGTGCGTCTCCCTTTAACCGGCCGGTGAGGTCTCTGAGGACCATGGCAGGTGGGTTTGCCTAGGTGCAGAGAGACCTGGCTCTGTATCTTGGCCTGTACACTTACCACTCTCCGCCTGTTCACTGGGAAACTGCCATTAGACTTCATGATAACGGTGCAGAGTTTCATGTCCTCGGGGTGAGTGCAGCTGCCCTGTGGAGTGAGCCAGCACACGGGTCACGATGGGGAGGAGAGTGAGGACAGTAACCCAATGTGGGGTAGTCAGACTGGACATAGAGTCTCAGAGAGGGCAGAGGACAGGAGGGTAGGGGCCTGAGGAGGCAATCGAGGCAAGGGAGAACATCAGCACTGTGATGAGAACAGGTGGGCAGGATGAGGGACAAATGGGCCCTGACTTTTATGGAGCACCTGCTAAGGGTCTGGCACCATGATAGGCACGCTCACATCCCTGTCACAGTGAATCCTGACGACCACCCTGTGAGGTTGGCATTATGATTCCCATTTAACAGATGAGGAAACTGAGGCTCAGAGAAGTTAAGCAAGTTGCCCAAGGTCACTCAGCAAAAAAGTGGTGGTGCCAGGATTTGAATCTGTTGTGTCTAACCCCAAAGCTCTTGTTCTTTCCATGCCTACATACTGTCTTTCTCAGAGGGAACTAAGCAGAGGGGAGAATTCATAAGACATAAGAGAGCGGATGAAAGAGGGGCAGAGTAGGGAAGTAGGAAAGAGCAGGGGGGCGGGGAGGAGGTGTGCACAGAGGGGAGGGTGGAGAGTGTGGATGGTAGAGGACATGGGATGAAGGCATTAGTGGGCAGGGAAGGGAGACAGGGGCCAGAGTGAGGAAAGAAAAATGAAGGGAGGAGAGGGAAAGGAGCCCAGGAGGGTGCCAAGGGCTGCTGCATTCAGACAAAGATCTCCAAGCCAAGTCCTCTCCTCCCAGGTCTCCGCCGCCACCCTTGACACCTCCCACTCCTGGAGGTTCAAGTTGCTCCGCTGAGGTCCACGCCTTTGGAATCTGGCCTGCCCAGCTCCTCGGAGCACCTGCAGCCTGGACCCCCTCCTGCTGCGGTATCCTAGGCCCCCAATGAGCAGACGACCAGTCCCCTGGGTGATGGTTAGTTAGGTGGGGACATTGGAGGGGAGGGGGATCTCGGGACCTTGAGTGGGGCCTTCAGGTTGGCCCTGAAAGCCCGGCTGCTGCGCTTGGTGTTGACCCGCTTTCGGCGCCTCCGGAGGACCATGTAGATCTTGATATAGACGAGCAGTGTGACAATGAAGGGCGCATAGAAGGAGACTACGGAGGAGTAGACCACGAAGGCGGGATTGGCAATGATGCACTCGCTCTGTTCTGCAGGAGGGAGAGCCCCAGGCGGGCAGGTCAGCAGGCCCAGGGGCCACAGCACCACGAGAGGCCTTATCTCCTTCATGGAACAAGGAGCAAGATTACCGAGACTATACTAGATGTCTAAGGCTGCCTGGAAATGTTAGATGCAAATAAGTGTGCAGCGTAAATCAGAGTACTGAAAACACAACCATGAGCAAAAAGCTAAGCTGTGATCGATGGTTTCCAAGTTTTTCCATTAATATTCTCCCATTACTTCATTAATTCTGTCATCTATGCGCATACAAGTGGAGCCAGGGTGTTTGGAAAAATATACCCCCAAAAAATTATTTTAAGAGGGTAAGCCATTATTTTAGCCTTTTCTGTATGTTGGCGGGAGGTCTGCCACCCTTTAATTTTAGGATCAAGATAGTTGGGTCCTGTTTGCTGAACTCACCTGCGTTGTGTTTCCAAGCTCCTTTCCAGGTCTAGCTGATGTCTGTCCTCTATCTCAGGGCCTTTCCAGACTAAGGCGAACATATTTAGGCCTATTCCCACTTCTTGGTATTCCCACAAGAGTTAGATTTTGTACCACACACCTCCACGGCTTTATTGTGTCCTTTAGTCCTACAATGGTCTCTTAAGGTGCTCCTGCACTGTTCTCACCTCCCTGAGAGGAGTAAGTTTCACGCCACACCAGCAGGTGGGCATGGTGCCTCCTCTATCTGAGATGCTCAGACTGCCTGGCACAGTACAGGCCTCAGTGCCTCCTGCTTCTTCTTTCTACCTTTTCTGCTCCAGGTGACTGAGGCCAGCCCTGGGCTGGGCCCGTCCTGGGGCCACAGCCTCATTACACGAATACCACTGTCAGGAATGACCAAGGCCCAGGATCATCTCCCCATGTGCACACACACATGCACTCCCATGCAGTTTGTGAGGCTGTCTGTCCTGCTTCAATCTAAATGCAAAGTTGGAAATGCCCAGACATCCTCCCGAATCATTATCCCGACTCCTCCCCCAACTCCATTGTGCCCCAGGCCATTGCTCCTCTCTGGTACAGAAAAGAACCGGGCTTGGCCCAGGAAACCCAGCCTGGTCTCAGTGCAGGCTGATGACTAGGCCCCGCCTTGCACCTCCACCATGTCTGCGCCAGGGGCTCAGTTCCCTCTGGGTACTTGCACAGGGGCCAGCGGAAGCCACCGCAGATGGAGGCAGGGCTCACCTGGGTTATTGAGTCCGAAGAGCAGTGGGCAGGAGATAGTGAAGGACAGGACCCAGACGATGGCGATCATGACAGTGACTCGGCGCTTAGAGCTGTAGCGTGTGTTGTAGAGCATGGGCATGGCCACAGCCGTGTACCTGCAAGGGTGCGGGGCAGGGGGACCCCTCACTCCACAGCATGCACACACCAGAGACACCCCCCCCTTGGGGATGGACAGTGGGTCCACCTCCATGAAGCCTGCTTGTCTGCGCTAAGTCAACCCTTGCTCCTGTCCTGACTCACTCACACAGCGAGGCCAACTGGTGCTCCCAATTAACTAGTTAATGATTGACTGGCTACCATTTAGTCATGACTGTATCTACGACTTCAGTCTCCCTACTTGGATTTTAGGCTTGGGTGAGGGGTCATGGCCTGAGTCTTTGCACCTTTGAAACTGTACCTACTATCCCTGGGCTGAGCCCACAGAAGGCGGAAGTGTTTGCTGATTGATTGGTAGTCAGGCCCCTCAGAGCAAGGGTTAAGCCCCATTCAGCCGAAAACAATAACAATCGTAATTGTGTATGACCCTCATATTCCTCTACCAGCACTTCTCAAACATTAGCTCATTTTGTCTTCCAAGGATCCTGCGAGAGTAGGGCCAGGGCCTCTGGGAGCCCATGTGGCCTGAGTGTACAAATTAGCAAAAGGCTCCAAGAATATAGATTAGCAAGGTGATCACGGCCTGGGCCCTCTTGGCCATGTGCCCTGTGCTGGACCTAAAATGTATAACCAGAAACTATAGCCCCACATGAGCAGCTGTCATCATCCTTGGTTTCTAGACAATGAAACTAGGGTTCTGAGAACTTCCACAACTTGCCCAAGGTCACATAAGCAGAAAGTGATAGAGCTAGGGCTTCAGTCAGAGTCAAGTGCTTTCTCCTCTATACTCGCCACCATCTGTGTATTCTTGGTAGCATCACCTTCAATGAGATGGTACTCTCTCAGCCAGACACACATGTACCCACACGTGTGCACGTGTGTACACATACACACACATGCACACATGCACACACAAGCACGTGGACTCACAGGCATTCAGCCAGCCACACAGCATCATAGACAGAGCCTGACCCTGAAGGAAAGGTGGAACAGCCTGAAAGGTGAATGGCCTGGGTCATCTCTCCCACCTTGGCTGGGCTCACCTGTCGATGCTGATGGCACACAGGTTCAGGATGCTTGCTGTGCACATCATGACGTCCAGAGTGACAAAGATGTCACAGTGAATCCTGCTGAATTTCCACTCACCCACAACCTGAGGACAAAGCAACACAATAGGTGGACAGCAGAGGGGGAGATTAGCTTAGGCCTCATAGCTCAGCTCCCCCGGGGTGGGTCAGGCCACAGGCTCAGCAGGCAGCTGTAGGGGTCTGTGCGTCTCTGCCTGGGGTCTGGGGGAGAAGAGGCGCAGCAATGGGGAGTCATGCCCATGGGTGTCTGAAGCCTTGCCCCTGGCCCCCTCTCCTCCTAGACACATAAGGCCACTTTGTGCCAAGAACTGTGCTAGAAGAAAGATGACCAGCTCATACTGAGTGCCTCAGCTTTGAGCCTTCAACTGTAAGACATCTCCGTGATCACTTTGAGACCCCCATTTTACCAATGAGGAAACTGAGCCTCAGATAAGTGCAGTGACTTGTCCAAGGCCTTTCTGCTCAGCATCTGGTCCTGCTCTGACCTAGGTTTCTGGGGGAGACAGACAGCTTCTTCAGTGCCCAGCATGGTGTATGGCACAGGGTCGGGGCCCAATAAGTCTCTGTTAAGAACAATGGTGAAGACAACGAGCCTATGAAACAGGGAAGACGTTTCTGCTCCTTGTTACAAAGAGAATGAAAGAAGGAAAGTCTGGGTCAGAGCTTTAGGAATGCCAGCTTGGGCTGGGGAGGGGCTGTGATGATACAGCCCTGGTGTGACAGGCCAAGGGGAGTCCAGCTCCTGGCAGGGGCATTTCGCACCCCTCCCCTACTACACACACTCATACCCCCTTACACGCACACGCACACACTCCCATACCCCCCGTGCACATCCACACCCTCACACTTCCCATTTACACACAGGCACGCACACTCACACAGTAGGCTGGCCTGGCAACTTCGGACGATTGGAGCAGCCCCCACCCTGAGCACAGGGTCAGCTCAGGGAACTGCACCTTGGGCCTCCACCAATAGGAGAAAAGAGGAACAGGAAAGCCCCCTCCTGGTGATGGGGCCGAGCAGTCCCCGCGCTGCCAGTCACAGCATGGCAGCAGGCCTAATTATAACGTTGTACATTCTCAGCACTGCCCTTTTTTCTGCTTTCAGGCATAAAACCCAAAGTTGGCATTTAAGCTCAGAGATGGACACTGCAGTTACCATTGTGGATTGTGGAGGAAAGAGTGGCTTCTCCTGGAAGACAGGAAGCTTCTCCTGTGGCGCTGCCCTTTCTGGGGCTTACATGGGGCTTGTACCAGGGCCCCTCCCATGTTGCAGCACAGGGCTCCCTGTGCTGCAGTGCAGTGCTGACCAGGCAGGGAGCTGGATGTCCTGTGGGGGAGCCGGGGAGGGGGGGATGGAACGGTTTCGCTGGCATAAACAGTCTACCTTTTGGCACCACTGGGAGGTCCCCAGGCCCACCTAGTCCACTTTACCCCGCCCCACTTAAAGCCCCGTCTAGGTTAGTATTACAGAGATGCTTTCATGTCCCTGGGCATCTAGGTCTGAGATACCAGGACCCTCTTCCCCATCTTCCCTGCTTTTCTTCTTTCCTATAGACACTTAGTATATGCCAAGCTCTGTCCTAAACTCTGGGGACAGTGGTGAACAGGACGGACAAGTCCCTGCCTTTAGGGAGCTATCAATCCCTGCCCCCCCCCTCCCCCAGTCTTGATGAAGTGAGAAGGGCGGTGTTTCCTCCCAATTCCCTGGAGCAGCTGCTAGAACACAGCCAGGGGCAGCTGACTCAAGCAATCAAGAGAATGTGTTGGTAGCCACTGTTTCTAGAACACCTACTGTGGGCAAGTATGTTATCTCATTCATTGTTCTTAAAGCTCATGCAAGAGGGCTTGCTCATGCCCAGTCATGCAGGAGGGCACTGAAGCTCAGAGAGTTCACCCAGCTAGGGGGAGGCAGGGCTGGAGTCTGAAGCAAGCTCCTGGGCAGAGTATCAATGCTCTCATCTAAACTGTCTAGGGAAGGACTGTCAGGCTTGTCAAAAGAGGAGATAATTATGTAAAAGGTACTAAATAAACAGAAAGAGTGAAAGGAGGGATTATAGTTGCAAGGGTGGACAAACTTGGGGTCAGGGAGGAAAACAGACTTGCCCAAGATCACCTAGAGATTTAGTTGCAGAGGAAGGACCGGACCCCAGGTTTCCTCTGCACTTTTGGACGTCATTCATTGATATTCTTGCTCACATGAAGCTGAGGGCTACAGGATGGGCCTCAAGCTGGGCCTTGGCTAAATCCTAACAATAACTAGCACATATTAAGCACCTACTAACCGTTAGGCACTCTTCCAAACACTTCACACTCATATCTACGGAATGTGACAGCAAACCTCTGAGGCTAATGACATGACTGCCGCTCCTCAAAACCTCCAGACAGCTACCCCCTCCCTGTTCAGTATCTTTGCACACTTTTTTCTCCGCCTGGAGTGCAAGTGCCTTGTTCCCTCCCCTGGCTAATTCTTTTGAAAGCATCACTCACTTCTTCCTGCAAGACTTCCTTGTCCCCACATGCCAAGTCACGTGCCTTCCACATCTCCCCTGGCGACTGCTCCATTGTCATCTCCATCCAGCTGCATGCACTGTAATGTACCTATCAGTCTCCTCGATGGCAGGCCGGTGCCTTAGACCCCAGCCCCAGTGATTGGGTAGGACATAGAAGTGCTCAACACATGTTGTGAGTGAATAAATAACTCTGATCTAAGTCTTTTCACGTCTCAGTCTCATCTGCTCATCTGGAAAATGTGCACAGTTAAACCCTCCCCTCAGAGTGTTGTGAGGCACATGGCCACAGTTGGCCCCTGGCTCTCTTGTCTTAGGAGTTTCTCCAGATGGAAAGCGGTAGGGTCAGGAATTGAACCCAGTCTTCCCACTTCAAAACCAGTGTGTTTTCCATATACTGATCAGAATAAATAATACACCTCCAGTCCCATGCTAGACAGGTGTTGACATATCAGGCTATTGGAGGCATTTAACATTGCGGGAAATGGAACAGGATGGAAAATTCTAGAAAACAAGGGTGTCTCTTAGAGAGGATACAGTATGTGGTTGCAAGGATGCTTTGGAGGGATGTTGTGATAGGGTAAGACTCCACTTGGGACATTCTCTAGGGATAATAAATAGCTAAGACAATGTCCTATAAGGCTCCCTGTCCAGCTCTTGCTTTGGTGGGAGACGACAGGAAAGTTTGAAAACTGTCCTCTGAGATGCCATTCTCCACCCTATTTCCCAAAACACTGAGCTTCCTCTTTAAAATACTGGTGAACAGGTATGCTGAAAATATCTGTTTGAATGACCTACAGATTACAAGGAGCCCCAATACAGTCCATGTACAGATTTGGCTCCACCCTAGAGTGTCTGGGTGGGTGGTGGGTCTGAGGGCCCCTGAACCCACACCGAGAACCCTGGGCAGAGCACACCTTACTCTGGGAAGAGGATGCCTCTCTGCCTTCTCTGTGGAGAGGTCCTGGATATCTCTGTATGGTCATCTTCATCTTTAATACCATTGTCATGGCTGACTTTTACATACTGCTTATTATGTGCCCGATGCCATTCTAAGACCTTTTCATATATTAATTTATTTGATCCGCAAACAGTGCTACAAGATAGATACTATTATGCATTATCTCTATTATATAGATAAGGAAACTGAGGCACAGAGAGGTTGCTTGCTCTGCCATTCACCCACCACTTTTTTTCTGATGGTCTGAAGCCTAGGACCTTCCTTTGAAAGCGAGCAGGGGGTGAACAGGTCTAAGAATTAAGAAGGGGCATGGGGTGGACAGAGTCTTGGGGTCCTCATAAACATGGGGCTCATGGAAGAACTGGACCCCTGGCCTGTGGCACCTGTATGTTTTTATGTTACTGTGTATCTATCGTTTGTTTCCTTTTGGCTCTTCCTTAACATTCAGTCAGGTCATTTTGAAAGTTCCAGCCTGTTTGGGCTGTACTAATGGAAATCAAGGGAGTGATGGACCAGAGTTCCCTCTGGGCCAATGTGGTGGTGACAACAGGAGGTGCAGGGAGCTCCTTGGGGCATGGGGACAGAGAGAAGTGTCACTTCTGACCACACTGCCATCCCCACCTCAGCTTCTCCTAGCTGTCTCCTCTGCTCAAACCTACAAAGGGTTCATGTTTTCTTTTAACAGAAGGACTTATGTCCAGGGCACAGGTAAATTTCTCTCTTGCCTGGGGCAGGAAGGTAACGGCTCAGTGATCTTAGACACCTTAGCATTGGTTCCTTCCTGAATGCCTGGTCAGCTTCCCGTGCACCCAGACTCCACCCCCAAATCTTGGGCAGAGAAAGGGGCAGGATCCAGCTTGTGCCCTCTCACATCCTCCTGACCCTCCCACATCTGTCTGGCAGCTCTGAAAAGCGTCTGCCTGGAGGTAGGTCCATTTAGGGACTATCGGCAGCTTCTCCCTGTGCTGTGTGATCTGGGTGAAGACAGGCAGCTTCTCAAAGCTGCTTCTTCCTCTCCAGTAAAGCGAGGATTAGCACGAGTATTTGCTGAGTCTGTGTCTGCAAAGTGCCTGCCTAGACCATAACAGAGATGGCCGGTTCACTGTTCCGAGGCATGGAGCCAGGTTCTGTCCTGAGCCCAGTAAGGGTGACCATCTGGTACTTCCTGAGGAAGAGGCTGCAGCACAGTCCACAGAGGCCTCTACTGGAGATCCCAGAAAACAGGCGCGAGAGCACACTGAGGGAGAAGGAAGGGAGAAGGAGGGCACAGGGCAGCAGCCCCCATTTCTGAAGTGGGGAGAGAGGAATGAAGAATTTGGGCCTGAAAGCGAGAACATCTCCCGTGCTTGGAGGCCCTCATCAGTTATCCCTATTTCCAGCAGGACCTAATGAACCGACTCTGGGGCCAGACAGAGTGCCTGTTTGGACCCATCAGCTGTGTGATGCTGGAGGTCACCTAATTTCTGTGAAATGGTGATAATAACTCTGGTTTCTCAGGACTGCTGTGAGGACTCTACGGAAAAACGCTGTATATACAGGACTTAGCATGAGGCCCGGCACTTAGGAAGCACTCTAAAACTGTAGTTGGGGCTGTGAAAGAGACAAGCTACCCATTTTGTAAGGAGAAAGACTGAGCCCAGCGTGGAGGAAGAGACCACCTGAGAAAGCACCAGGCAGCTTGTTGGCGGAAACCAGTGAGGAGCCTGGACTCCAGCACAGTGTCCTCTTGGCAAAGGTGCCGTGGCAAGGCGGGGCCCAGACCTACCTCCAGGTAGAGCACCCAGGGCATGACGAGCGTGGCTACGAGGAGGTCGGCCACGGCGAGGCTGACGATCAGGTAGTTGGTGGTGGTCTGCAGCGCCTTCTCACGGGACACAGCCATGCACACCAGCACGTTGCCAAAGACGATGATGAAGATGAGCAGGGTGAGCAGCATGGCGTAGTAGTTGTAGGAGGGCTTGTCGGCCTTGCCTTCGGACCCGTTGAAGGGCCGGCTCCAGTTCCGGCTCTCCAGACCGTCATCATACCAGGTCACGTTCAGTGGATCCATTGGAGCAGTGGGGCCACTGGGTGGCCAGGCTCTGGCCATGAAAAAGGGACACAGGGAGTAAGCAGCAGGCCCTCCCACAGCATGCTGCTTCCCACGGAGGACTCCCGAGCTAAAACCAACCCCTGGAAGTTAACTGAAAGACTTCTCCAGCCACAGGACGTTGTTTTGCATCCAACCATTTTCTTAAAACACTGGGGCTTACAGCGACTATTCTGCTAGCATTTTTGCAGATGGCAAAACAAATAAGCAAGTATAATTTTTAAAAAGTATAATAAAATAAATGAAAAGAATGGATCATTCATTCATTTATTCAAAAAACATGGATTAAGCACATCCCGCGCAACATACACTTGAGTTAATGAGGACTTTCAACTTCTAATGGTAGGAACAGAAATATGCATTCATTCATTCTTGATTCTATAAATATTTAATGAGCATTGTTCTATGTAATCCTAGAAACATAAGCAGGAACAACATACATATGGTTCTCCAGCTCTCAGTCTAAAAGAAACAATAGCCAATTAAATCTGTGAGTGGTAGGCACTAGGAAATGGAATAGGGTGAGAGACACAAAACCTAGTTTAGGGATTCAAAGAAGGCTTTCAATAGGAAGTGACGTGACAGTCAACAAACACCTGAAGGATGTGTAGGAATTATCTAGGAAAAAAGAGTTGGGAGCCGGGGGAGGGGTCTAGACCAGGAGTTGGCAAACTTTTGAGGACGGAGGAGCCGCCAGGGGTCAGCAAACTGCAGCTCGCTAGCATGTGGCTCTGAAGTAAAACTGAAAATGAAAATAAAACTGGCATAGTTTCATTTATAAAATTTTTAAAGGATATTATTCACATAATGGTGATTATGTAAAAGTATATTTATGGCTCTCAAATAATTTTTAAATTGTTGTGAGGGAGAGGATTGGCTCTTCCAGGGGTCGGCAAACTTTTGAGATGGAACGTACCCCAAGAGCCGCATGTGGCTCGTGAGCTGCAGTTTGCCAATCCTTGGTCTAGACATAGGAATTAGTATGCAAAAGACAGAGCTAGTGAGCAGGTGCCCTGCTGGAGGACTAGAAAGAGATTTGGTAGAGCTGAAGCATAAAGGGTTGGCATCCGTTAAACTGGGGAGCTTGCAATAGGTGAGGTCACAGAGGGCCTTATAAGTCAAACCAGGAGTTTAGACTTGACCCTAATGGCAGCAAGAATGGCATAATCAGATATGCCTTTCAGAGAGAAGACTCTGGTTGCCGTGCAGCCAATGGATGAGCAGGGCTAAACAAGATGGCAGGACACCAGCTGGGAGGCTGTTGCAGGAACCTCACTAGGAGATGATGAGCTCTGTGCAGGTGCACTAAGCCCTGAGGAAGGGGCATCTCATCCCAGGGGAGGAGACATTCTGAAAGAGGCATCATCTGAGATGAACTAGGAGGGGGAGTTAGCCAGGCAACTGAGTGGGGGGTGGGGGGAGACGTTCCAGCTAAAGAGAACCCAACACAGTCCCAAACAGCAAATAATTCTGTTTGGCTAAACGTGTAGGGCATGATGGTGACGCTGGGGGAAATTACAACGGAGGGCCATTCATGGGCCATATCAGGGCTTGTAAGCTTGGGCGCCCCTGAAAGGCTGGGTGCACATGACTGACTCTCCTGGATTGGTGTTTTAGAAAGGTGGCTGGCTGCTGCAGTGTAAAGGGGACCTTGGATTGGAGTGAGGTTATGGCTATAATTCAGGTAAGAGAAGGTGGTTGCCCGGATGAAGATAGTGGGAATAAGACTGCAGAGAAGTGTTCAGAACCAGTAGCTAACCTGAAAGTCAGTTTCATGGAATTTGATCATTGGATCAGGGTGGGGGCGGGAGTAACCAGGGAGAGAAGGAATCAAGGATAACCGCATTTCTGCATCAGGCTCTTGGAGGCTGGTAGAGCTGCTCACTGAGCAACGAGAGCAGGAGGCTCCGAGAAAGACGTGAGAGGCACTGATGAGCTTGACAACCTGCGTTTTGGTGGTGATTGAAACATAATGCAACATAATGAAATATAATGTAATTGGCTTTCCTGCTAACAAATGTGTTCCTATTTCACACAATGGAATTAACTGCATTAATATTTCAAGGCATTCCACACAAAGCACCGTGAATTCCAGGTGCTGTGGTACCCAAATGGATGAGATACAGCAATTTAGGCCATTCAGGATGAGCATGGTTCCACGTCCAAATCAGGGTGCGGGGCACACCAGCCAAAACAGGTCAGAGGGGACCCCCGGAGAAGGGTGTGCCCACCTCTACACCCGCATCTCTGACTGACATGACACATCTGCTCTGCCAGCTCTCAGCAGAGGAGTATGGATGATATCATATCCAGCACCACCACTTTAAGAGTCTGGGAAAAGCAAAATGCCAAATTCCATGCGGGGTGATATGGAAGCCACCCAATGCAACAAGTCTTCCAATTCTAAAGTGGTAAAGCGCTGTGTTAAACTGATGCTGCCCTCTGCAAAGCCAAGTGGTCCCTCTGCCAGTTTGAAGCACACAGCGGGAGACCTGTATGTGTGTATTGACCAGGAAACAGGCGTTGCTGCTGCCATGCATTTACTCAATCAGCATCTATTGAGCCTGCGAGGCGGGAAGCACAGCCAAGCACTGCCGGCCGGGAGGCATGGATGCGCACTCCATCCCCCAGGATCCTGACGGTGCCTCCCTGCTCCTGCTCCCACTGTCTTAGTCTCTCCCTCTGGGTAGGGCTAGTGGCATCTGACTCTGGGCTCCCTGGCTCCGCCACCCCACCCATTCTCTGCACCCAACCAGACCTCTGCTTCTGCAGCACAATCTGAGCCTGCCTATGATAATAGCTTCATCTACTTGTAAAGGATTTGATAGCTTGCCAAAGTTGGTTTGGTGTGTTTTTTTATATATATATACTATCTCATTTATCCTCCAAACAATCTCTGAGCCTTGTAATTATTATCCCTACTCTACAAATCAGAAAAACATCTGGAAAACTTGCTCTTCTTCCTCTGTGTTTGCCTAGTCCCTACACATCTCTCACAGCAAGCTTGATCAGAATCATCGTGCTCCGGGACCCATCCACAGTCTTCCTGGCTGGGCCTTCTCCCACCCTCCTCGGGGCTCCCAAAGCATTGTTTCATGGTTCTGTTCTGGAACATACCCCATTTGTGTGTCTATTTTTTTCACTGGGGTGTAAGCATCTCAAGGGTTACACTGTGTCTTGCTAATGCCTCATCTTCATGGAACAAACAAATGAGCATTCTATCTTGTTCTCTTCTTCTGACTCCTAACACTACGATTTGCAGGTAGAAAATGTTCAACAGATGTTTGCTGAACTGAATCAAAGGCTCTGTGAGTCCACCTGGGAAGAACCACCCCCCCTCACTCCCCAACACACACACACACACACGTTTGAAATTAGCTATTAACACAAGCCATTAGATTAACAAGTGACAAAAAAGTAATGCTGCCCGAAGGTATCAAGGGGGTTGCATGTTGGCTCCCCAGAAAAGCAGACTCTGAGGGGGAAATTAGCATGCAGGAAATTTATCGTGGAATGTTCCCAGGCTCCAAACCTGCAGGGAAGTGAAGGAAGCAGAGCTGGTCAGAGGAGAAGTTGGGCTGCTTTGCAGTCACACCAAAGGCCTCAGGTGATGTTCCCCTCAGGTAGCCTTGCAGCGTTGCCTGACTTAGGGCAACAGGATTGGGCCTTTGTCCCCTCTGATAATGTCATAGGTTGTGGGCTGTCCCAGGCACAGAGTGTGGCTTTGAAGGGACATCTCTCTTCAGCAGTGGGCAATCGCCAAGGGGTTGGACCCAACTGCAAACTGTCAGTTGTCAACACTCCCAGTAGTTGCGGAAGGAGTGCCTCAGCTGTACAGGAGTTCTGGGTGGCACACTACAGCACACACTACAGTGGATGCTCAGAAACCAGAGAGGATATGCACATGGGCACAGCCAGGGTGCTGACGGAAGGCTTCCTGGACCAGTGAGAACTTAAACCTGGACTTAAAATTATGGGTACAATTTAGATGGCAATTATGAGCACGGCCAGTCAGGGAGGGGCTGGGGCTGAGCAGTCATGCCTCTGCAGGCTGGCTACTCTGCAGGGCAGTGGTGAGTTCCTTCACTCAAGGCTGGAAAGACCTCACGCATTTAATTTTCTAACTTAGTATTTATTCTCAATTGTTCTTGCTGTTTTTGCTGATACAAATGTAATATATTCACATGATAGAAAGAACGGGAAATCATGGAAAATGCCTAAATGCCTGTAGACCCTATTAACATCTTGGTACAGGGTTGTCTTCTAACCCCCAAAGCCAATGACCTTCCCTCCTGTGTCCTCAGCACCCTTCCTGCCTGAGGCTGACATCTTTCACAAGCAAGGGCTGCCTGGCTAGCTCTCACACAACATCAAGCTAAGCAGGAATTAGGACTCAGCAAATCCACTCCCACAATTGCAGTACTCATAGATACTAAAGACCAAAAAACCTTGGTTCAGATCCCAACCCTACCCTTACTAGCTCTGGGGTCTTGGCCAGATTATTTGGCTTTCTTGAGCCTCCATTTTCCAATCTGCAAAATGAGGATAGCAATTATTGTAGTGAGGCTTAAGCAAGGTGATGTATGTGGGGCCAGCACAGGTAAACCCCCAAGGACTGTTCACTTTAAAAACAAAACCAAGCAAAAGAACGAAAAGAAACAAGCAATCAGACCACAAGCCTGAGACTCAGAGAGGTGAGGTGACTGGCGCTGTCCAAATGCTGCCCAAATGCTCCTGGCTCCTCCTCGGAAAGTCAGGGCTGGCTGAGGGAAGAAGGCTTCCGAGAGGCAGCATCTACCGCTTGGGAGGGAGTAAAGGGGGGGAAAGGCAACGACTGTTCCTGAGCCATGGTTATAGGGTAAATGTGAGCGACTCTCGGGAGGGGGTAGCAGCTGGCCTGCAAGACCCAGCTCTCCCAGCCCCCTTGCTTAGTCAGCAACTGTAATGCCAATTGCCATATTTCCTAGGTCTAAGATACTACAATTCAGTGTA